ACATAGAGAGAGAGAGAGGGGGGAGGGTTAAGCGAGTAATTTTAAGGGATAATGATGTTATGGCACATAAAATGACTGGCAGACGGTTTTATTTATATAAATAATAATATTATTTATTAAACAGGGTTATTTTATGAGGACCATATAATTTATGCATGCAAGATTTTGATAGGACGTAATTTAATTCCCATTATTCACCTCAGAGACATGGAAATGCCTAGCTTTTATAGATAGAAAGATAAACAGACAAGCCCTAGTAGCGAGATAAACAGATGCATAGATAAATAGAAAGATAAAAGATAAAGGAAGAACTTTTATCTCGCAGATTCTATTAGCCATGCATGTGAATCATAGTTTTGGTAGATTTCCCTTTACATGTTTTTTTTTGCGAATCAAAATTTAATATGCGACCGTATTATATAATGCAATTTATCGGAGTGGATGGGTTTGTGGATGGTAACTTGATATCTCTGATGTTCACAGTGTAGGTAACTATTAATATAAGTAAAACGCTCGGGAATGAGTCGTTCAACGATGATACCTCATATCAGGCTACTATACTATAAAAAAAATGTTGAGTGAACATACAGGCAGACCAACAAACATAGACACTGACCGACTGATAGACACACAAACGTTGTCAGTATTATACAAGCACAGTTTTACAGAGAGTAGAGATAGGGATTATATATCTCTAGATCAAGATACCAATAAATATGTAGGCCCTATAGATAGTGACAGAAAGAAAGAGGGGAAGACAAACAAGAGAGATTGGGGAGAGGGGGAGAGTATAGGGGAGGGGTGAGAAAGAGGGAGAGACCTTACTTTACTTTTCCGATCCAGCGGCCATCTGGGTCCTAGCAATTCGGCCTGTCGATATAGCAAAGAATTTATAGGTTTTTATCAGCTGTGTTTTGTCGCTGTATAAAGAATTTCCGATATCTGGGGAGGCAAGTAGGTAGGTGCTACGCAGGTCGCTAAGTACAGGGCAGGTAAAGAGATGATGTAATACTGTTTCATCCTGGCAGTCACACAACGGGCAGTCAGGTAGGGTATCCTTGTGGATTCTATTTAGGTACGACTCTAGTTGGTTTTGCTGTGTTGGCAGGCCAAAGATAGTGACTTGCTCTCTTCAACTGAGGGAATTTAGTGCATCTTTTGAGTTGGGAGCAGCCATGTGTACAAATACAGCTCTTCCAGTTTTGCTCAATGCTCATCCACTCACCCAATGCTCCCTGGTGTTCTGTCAATTTTTGAAACCGGCGGACAGCATAATGTATAATCCGTTTACAGTGCACTGTTATTAACTTCTCCAAATCCGTTTTTATCTATCACGATTTCGAAACCCGTCATCAGTTTCCTTTCTTCTTTGTTCCTGTGAAACTATCTATACTACTTTTATTGTTTCGGAAACTTTTCAAGAAGAAGAAGAAGAAGAAGAAGAAGAAGAAGAAGAAGAAGAAGAAGAAGAA